ATGTCTCCTGATAAAAATATCAACATTCTTAACTGCATTGCAATGATCATTTTACTTCCCATGCGTAGGCGAAGGAAGTATTTTATTGCAAAACTTTTCGAATTTCAGTTGACAAGTCTTTTGATGCCCAACAATATCACTTTCAGCGCGTCTGAATGTAAAATTAATAACAAGAAATCAGAGTGTTGTTATATTCGTTTAATGACCATCTGCGTAGTGTTTATGAAACAGCGCGTTAGCATTCAGTTTGAATAAGAAAATTTCTCTTTCATTTCTTAAGAATTTTTTTGAAAAATGACTATTTCATTTCTAAAAGAATAACCGAATGACCCTTTTATTTCTCAAGGAGTGGAGGGGTTATTTTTCCATTTTGTGCTTACAGTGATATATTATTACCTGGCAAATAATGTTCAGTAAATAAATATCTTCATGGTATCAATCAGCCTCTATCAGTCTAATAAAGACTCTAATGCGTTGATTACAGTCTTTCACGTCTTCAATGCATGTAACCATAAACTTTCACAATACTGTGCATGTTTTTATTTGATCACATATCTATTTTCTTCGCGATAATATCGTGGAAGAAATTTTTTGAATGTATTATCAATTGCTAGAAGATGAAATTTCAAGAGTGAGAGCTTCTGGCAAAGATATAAGGAATGCAAGATCTCCCCTTTTCTCCATGAACTGGACCTTTTTCCTCAATTTGTTATGGTGGCATTCAGTATTGGGCGTAATGAATGCTGTGCAGGTTCAAATGCAAAAGAAAGAAATAGACTTGATGATGGCTCAAAGGTGCATTTCAGCAGCATTGAAAAAATTTGAGGAGCGAAAGCACATACGATAATTTTGTTCTGAAGGCTAAGAATAAATGGGAAGAGATGGAATGGGAAAATCCTGGTTTTCGCATTGTCAGAAAGGGGACAATCAAAAAAAAATGTTCCACGAAAAAGCTGCTGACTCGCCACTGGAAACACACGAAAAACATCGAATAAATTACTACGAAGTTTTGGATTCAATGAGTAACGAATTGCAAGAACGTACTGAATGATTTCGTGAAGTGAATGATGTGTTTGGTGTTTTGCTGTCAGAGAAATTAGTCAATCTAAAAGAAAACGAATTAGAAGCCAGCATCACTAATTTGATGGAAAAATATTCGGAATTTTTCAGTACAGATCTAAAATATGAATTAGCCAGTTTTACGAGCATGTATTTTTCGGAAAATCGTAATTTTACTAATGACAGCCCGCTAGATTATTTGAAGTTCATGATTGCAAACAATTTTGTAGACAGTTTTCCTTATTCAGATTGTTTTTGACTTTGCCTATCGGTTCAGCTAGTGCTGCGATGGAAGTTTTTGCTGAACGAAAAGCAAGACGCGGATTCAAATTAGAATAATTCTGTTATTTTGTATTGAATAATGTTTGATCTCGTCTCTACTTGATTCAGGTTATATAGACATATAGTAAAAAAAACAGAGGTAACAGTGCGCAGCAGCTACTAGTGTGCATATAATTGTAAGCCCCTGTTAATATGTAACATCCTTATTGCCAGCAAAATATGTAGTTCGAACTTCATCTGAACAATTTAGATGGATTCTACGTTATCGAAAAATTTTAGATCCGCGTGAATATTGAAACAGTTGAATTAACTGTTTTATTGGCACTTTGAAGCAGCATCAGATTAACTTTTTGCATTAAATTACTATTAAAAAACCTTTTGCACTATCCATGAGCTTGTTTCGGTTACTTGTGCAGGTATTTCTAATTTTTTTATGCTAAGTTGCCGTCATTAATTTGCAAATAGCGATAAATGTGGAGAATATCACTTTCGCAAATAGTGCCCAGTGTATATCCTGTAGTAATGCACGTTATTTAACGTATTTTAGTGTTGTTCACCAAGTTTGTATTCAATGAAATATTAATCACGGCAAATATGACAACAACTATCATCGATCATATTTGTTTTTCCTTCTTACTTATAATTTTATGCAAATTCTATAAATAGCGTGCACTCCAAATTTGACTTGGCGCCCTCTACTTATCGGTAGCATCCGTGATAACTTTTAAACACTATTATGCACAAGAAGTTTGCTGGTGAATCAAGTTTAATTTACTTGAAAAAATTACGATGGGCATTACATGCGGGGAGGGGGGGTCTTTTCCTCTCAAATCCGCCACTGGTTGGTCAAATATGTGTGCATTACAGATTTATCTAAGAGATTTGGAACTTTAAAAATGTGGTCGGTCGGGACGACGGCAACCTTCATGTGTCGGACTCTATGTGCATCTAACTGCACCGCCGGCTTTCTCGATCTGAAGTTATAGTATTGTGGCTGGCGCTTATGGCCTGTTGGACTGGTGTGGCTCAGCACCGTTTCCAGATGGTCGATACTTTAGGCAGAAAAGGAACTAGCGTTAGCGTTGCGAATTGATGGGGACCATGGAGTTTGAACTAATTGTATATGGGCCTGTTTTGCTGACTTGACCCATTTAATTTTTTTGTTATACATATTTGCAGGCAGATCAAAGGGACTAACAAGAGCCGAACGTAATCCTCTACGAACTGCGTGGGAGGTGCAGAGTCAACATACTTGACGAAATTTTTGTGGTGAAAAAGTAATCGTAGGCTGTCTTAATTATGAGTTACTATGTCATGGTATATGGTTTGAACACCATATGGAAATGCTCCCTATTTTTTATCACGTTCACGCGTCCCGCCTCTTTACTAATAAAAGTTCCTTGACGCGACAGCTGGTGTTTTCTTTTCAGATGCAATTAGATTCATTATAAAGCCGTTAGATTTTTTCTTTCTGGTACTAATATTTATAAATTTTAATATCCAACACGTACTGGCCAGCAGATTGGACTCTTGCGGAAAATCCTTTTTTGACCGTTTTAAACGCGAAATACGCAAATTCGTGAGCAAAAGTGGCCAAAGCAAATGCCATGTTATTGCAACGAATCTACATCATAAAGACTACGAAGATTAACAACTTATCTACGCGCAATCGTGAAGCTCGCGTCGACGGTCCAAAAAAATTCCGCGATCCTTTTGCATAGGCCCTGAAACAAAATATCCTTTCTCTGTGACTAGATCATTTCCAAAAATACCTGTCGACACACCCCTAGATATACGTAGTCGTGCCATAAGTTCTGTCCCATGATAATCTCATGATAAAAATGAAACAAGATAAGATATATTTATATGAAAGATATTATTTATTCGACAACATTTTTAGAATTCATAGTCAAACAGTTTTATTCAAAATGTCCCCCCTTGGCCTTCACACACTGCTTCAATCTCGCGGGCCACTCATCTATCACTGCACGCACAGCTTCCAAAGGAATAGCTGCCGCTGATCGGATCAAATCCGCTTTCAGGGACTCGATATTACGGTGGGCTTTGGAGCAGGCCAACTGCTCTAGCAGGTCCCACAACTTGTAGTCTAAAGGATTGAGGTCCGGACTCCCTGAGGGCCAATCTTCCGCAGCAATGAACTCTGGCACATTGCTTTCCAGCCAGCGCTGCGTACTCTTAGCCTTGTGAGCGGGGGCGGAATCCTGCTGGTAGACCCAGTGTTGGTTAGCAAACAATGTACCACTTAAAGGCTTGACGATAGGATCCAGTATGTCGCTCTGATAGTTTGCCGCTTTTGTTTTCACGCCCTGTTTACAGAAATGGAGCTGAGTGACCCCTTCGTAGGACACCCCCCACCAAACCATGACTGACGCAGGGTGGTGGCCTCTCTCAACTCTCGGAATGATCTCCGAAGCTTCCTGTGAACTCCTTGCATACACTTTGTCATTTTGTCGGTTGAATTTTTCTTCTATGGTGAAGATTTTCTCATCCGTGAACAAAATCTTTCGGAATCCCCCAGCTGCGTACCTCTCCAAGAGCTTCTTGGATCTTGTCGCCCTGATGTGTCGCAAGGTGGCCGTAAGTCGCTGGCCCGTACGTCTCCGGTAAGCCCCTAGCCCTAGGTCTTGTTTAATGATGCGCGACATCGTCCGGACAGGAATCTTCATTTCCCTGGATAGGATCTTCTGCTTCCGGAGTGGATTCCTTTGAATCCTGGCTTTTACGGCTTTGATGGCTGCTGGAGTCCTTACTTGACGAGGTCTTCCGCTTCTTGGCCTGTCATCAACAGAGGACGTCTCATTGTACCGCTGAATGGTCCTAGACACAAATTTACGCGATATTTGAAGGCCGCGTAAGAGTTCAAAAATCTGACTAGCACTGTGATTACACTTATGTAAAGCTATCACTGCAATACGGTTCTCTGCCTTGCCCCACTCCATCGTTATGCTTCGAGAGATCAATACAAACTGAGGTATATGTAATTACCCGAAAAGCGCTTAATCAACTGACACCACAATGTAAACAATCGGACAAGTATTAACAGGTCTACACTTGTTTGAAAACGAGGGACAGAACTTATGGCATGACTACGTACATACATAGATACGTACACTTTTTCAAGTAGTTGTTGAAAATTGAATAACAATATATGGACACCTAAAGCTCGTTACTCAATGAACGATTCCTGTAGCAACGACAGCTTTACAGTTTAACGATTTACGTGTCATCGAATAAAACATGTCTTGGCAGCAACACAGCTTGTTTCAGCTAATAAACGACCAATCGTAGCAACAAAAACCGTTCGATGTATAAGAAGCGTATTATGAAATGTTAATCGAAATAAGAAAATACAAAACTCACAGTGGTCGATTCTGGTAATAGATGGCACTTTGAGTTGTGTTATTTCGACAGACCTTATGCACTGAATAGAGGATAATTGCTCAGCTTCCGTTCGTTTTTATACCTGAGACCAAGCCTAGACCATGCCGAGGAGTTGCCAAATAGCACGAAACATGTCCATGGTTGGCTGTCTGTTGTCGGACGAAAGCTATGTTACTAGTTGAGTTTTTTCGTGGGCCCGTGTCACTAGTTGTTTGTTTGAAAAATGTATGGGGTTGTATGATTCATTTATAATTTTTGTTGCAGGATGAAAAATGATGATTCGGAAATAGATAATACGGGTAACGAAGACAGTGACGACAGCGCTGATGTACAAGAACAACTATCTAAATTTCGGAAACAAATAAATAAGGGGCGGTGGAGTAAAGAAGAGGTACGTATTATTATTAGTATGTGTAGTAATATTAGTAGTATTTGCATGAAATCACTCATGAGCGGATAACTGATTTTCGAACAATCATAAACCATCCAATATATCTATATTTAGTTGATTGCTGCATCCTTTATCGGAAAACTGGGGGGAGTTACAAAAAATCATCGAAAAAAGAAAAATATGCAGGAAATTCAGTAATATTCTCTACAACGCTATCTATGAGTCACTAACCTTTTTAAAGTGGATTTCAAACTATTTCGGAAAGGAGAAAGAACTGTGCCAAATTCCCATAGATGATGCTCTGGTATCTCATTTCATCACGCATAATTTTTGGACGCTAGAATACAGCATTTGGTTGGACATATTCATGTAGAATATGTTAATCAATGGTACAGCGTCCGTAGTTTGAAATTTTCTACCATTCACACACCTATACATTCTTGGCCATTTTGTAACATACTCCCCTGGACTGGTATTCTCGTTTTTTTAGCTTGAAAGCGATACGTTTTCGAAACGCTTAGCGAATCATGCCGTACAGCAAAAGAGTCAAGTGTTTGGTTTAGGAATTCTCGTTGCTGTGCGAACGTTTTTAAGTTCAATCCGCCTTTGCAACTATGCTTTTTTCAATGTTACCAACATACTATCGGTTGAGAGAGATGGCCGGCTGAGAGTTACAGTGTGATTTTTGTCTACGTCTAGTTGGTAGTTTGACTAGCAAATTTATAATAGTTAAGCATCATTGTGTCATCGATATTAGATGTACTTTTGCCAGTCTTGCAAGTGCAAGTACAGTAATGGACAAAAGTATATAGACAAATATGAATATTTACCTAAATACCTTTAGAAAACGAATTCATACTTCATTGCTCCATAAACAAATGCGTTATCAGTAGAAAAACTAAATTCCTTGTTTTTACATTATCTGCAATGAACACAATACAAGTCTGAATATAAGCACTTTTTTATGAGGGACAAAAATATGTAGACAAATTCTTTTCAACATTAGTTTAGTACAGTTTCATGTCAGAAGAGGATCAGTTTGTGTTCATCAAGTATTGTGGAATTAGTTGAGTGATTTTAAGACCATGCCGCGTGGTCCAGAAATTTCTTTCGATGTGGAAACTAAGATCATTGAGTTATACAAAGATGGTCAACGTCAAGTCGATATTGCCAAAAATTTGAAGCTGAAGCGTAAAGCAGTTTGGGCAATATTGAACAAATATAAACAAAAAGGTATCTTGGAAGCCTCTAAGAGAAGTGGTCGGCCTAGGAAACTAAATGCTAGATCAGTTAGATTAATAAAAGTAATTTCGTCCAAAGATCCGTTTAAAACCCCAAGACAAATGAAAGCCGAAATCGAGATAAATGGAATTGTCAGTGTTTCTACGAAAAAGTAAGAAGATTAAATGATTTGAAGTTATTTGCACGTCGCCCGAGTAAGAAGCCGCTAATCTCGAGGAAAAACCGTAAGGACCGATTACAATTTGCACGGTTGCATCTTGATTGGAGCATCTGTGACTGGAAGAGGGTATGTTTCAGTGACGAATCCAAGTTCAATATGTTTGGATCAGATGGTGTTCATTACGTCAGACGTCCTAGTGGACAAAGATTGAACCCCAAGTACACTTTGCCCACTGTCAAACATGGAGGCGGGTCTGTTAGGTTTGGGGGTGCTTTTCGATTCTTGGGATGGGACCTTTACATAGAATAGATGGCATTATGGATAAGTTTGTATACAGAGACATACTAAAGCATGTCATGTTACTCTATATGGAAGCCAATATGCCCTTAAGATCAATCTTCCAGCAAGATAATGACCCGAAGCACACTTCAAGTCTCGCAAAGAAATTCTTTCTGGATGAAGAAATTCCAGTTCTCAAATGGCCTTCACAGTCTCTCTAGATAAACCCCATTGAAAATCTATGGGAATACTTAGATAAGCAAATACGAGATAAAAATTATTCAAACAAGGATGAACTTTTTGCCGCTTTAGAGCAAAAGTGGAGACAGATTGATGAATCTTATATAAAGAAACTTCTACAATCTATGCCGAGACGATGCCAGGCGGTGATTGATAATAATGGTTATGCTACAAAATATTAACACAAACATGGTTGGTTTTCTATAATTCAATGAACATTGCTTCTTTTTTCTATAATTGTTTTGCTTTGTCTATATATTTTTGTCCTCCATAGTTCCAGATTTTTTCAATCAATTTTTTATTGAAGGGAGTCTAATGAATTTATTTATGTATAATTGACTATTATGCTATAAAGAATTATGTATACAGGTTGGTGTATTAATAAAACAAGTTAAAAAAGAAATACAGCACAATATTATTTGTCTATATTCTTTTGTCCATTACTGTAGTTCAATATTGTTACGTACTTTTTGCTAAATTACTTATCATGCGCGATGTATAAAAGACACTGGGAAAAATGGTTGTGCCATTTTCTCCAAATGTTCCCCATCGTCTTTTCTTAGATGGTATGGTTTTACAATTTTTTTACAATCATCGGCCTCGAATCTTTGCCTCTCCAAGTGCCCAATATTTGGCATGCCCCTAGATACTGTGAATTTATTCAAAAACTACCACAGCATCGTATCAATAGCACCAACACCATAGATATTATAAATAAACCCAGGCAGTGATGAGCGAAACACCAACCACTTAGTAGTCGCTTTGAAGTCGACAAGCGATTTTAAAAAACGCTAAGCGTATTTTTACGGCATCCAGAAGCAGCAAATGTCGTCATATTCGCTGAGAAACTTGAAACGCTTTGCGTTTTGAAGAACGAGAATACCGGCCCTGGTAGTTTGTTCGTGATGAGTGGCAACAATGACCAGTCGATTTGCGTATTACTCATAAAATCGTGCATGTTATACGTGAGTTCGCCCCTAAAATCTACGGTTCGATACATTTGGTAGTTCCCACGCACCACGCACTCTTCTCGTGGGTCTGATGGGCGAGTGATGCACCCAAGCATGTCCCTACTGCGCTTCGTCAAATAACTGGTTGTGGATTGTAGATTGCTTTGGCTTACTGATGGTCGTATTGAATATCCATGCCCCAAACGCGGTGAAAAGGGCTGGTTCCGCGACTGGTTTTGAACAAATCATTCATAATCACGCGTACTGAGAAACGAGATAAAGAAAGGTGGTACATTTTACATGGTGTTTTGTGTTAACACTCATCTCAAAATGATAACTGCAAAATGTCCATGTTGTAAAAACTCGACATTACAACTCATTCTATATGCCTTTTCATGTTCACTATATTGTTAGCCGTTGATATGTAGATATTAGAGATCGACAGATACAGAATTTTAGTCTATACTGATAATCGAATACCGGCCATTCGTCTTTTTTTCTGAACATAATTGGGTGGGAATGCAGTGACACTTGCTTTGACTGCATGATTTCTATGTAAGTCATCATATATGATGACATTGCAGATTTCCCTATCATGATGCCGTTTCGAAAAATGGTGTCAAGTATATTGACTCTATACATTCTACTCCTTCGTTGGAGGTTTCAAAGAGGTAAATCGTTTTAAAAGGCGAAATCGAATCGCGATTAGGTAGGTTCACTTAGGTACAATGAATCTTTGATATCTGCGTATTAAACTATTTAAGGCAAATCAAACATATCTCTGTTTCCATGGCAGATGTAGGGAAAATATGTGTGACTTATGTGTAACAGGTGCATAGTATCACTGAGATCAACAGCTTCTTAGTAATAGAAAGTCTTTCACTGACACCAAATCTATAACAATTTACAAACATTTACCGTATACAGCTTCTAAGGGGCCGTTCAAGTATTACTTAAGCAGATTTATTACAATTATTTACCCCCCATCCCCCTTGTCAGCAAAAGTAAGCAAAGCTCTTACCCCCTCCCCCCATGCTTTCGTAAACATTTGTCAATTAATCTATTTTTTTTTTAATATTATAATTATAAAGTTATAAATATAATTTGAAAAATAAGAAAATAGATTTAGGATAGAGATTATGTTTTACTGATACGGTATTCAACATAGAGTAAAGGACAAAAATATTATATCTTACTATCATAACAAACTTATTTTAAATTTTTGGTACATATATTAAATTCAAATTAACAATCTTCAGTCCATGAAACCCGAATCCATGATTCTAAGTTTTCGATGACATTGGATTGCTTCGATTGCTGCTCAGTGTTGTGAGTTTCATCGGATTTTGGAATGTCTATGTCGTTCTCATCGAGCCATTCAACATCATGGTGCTCTAAATTTTGAATAATGCACATCAGTTCGTTAGCACGACGAGCAGCGACTCTTACAGGTCTAACTTTCCTATCAGTGTGCGTGTTTACTTTTTTATGGATATTTTCGATGTGACGATTTAGTGACTTGACGGAAGCATGATAAAGACCACACGTTTCGCATGTTCGACTTGATAGCCTCAATTTTGCCGTCGGACAAAAATAATCGTAGGGCATTTGCAGGAAATCTTTGAGTTGAAGCACTTAAGCGTAGAGCTAAATTGACTGGAAGATTCAGAAATTGTCCTCCTTCATCCAAAACCAAGTCATCAACTGTTTGTTTTACTTTTACAGGCGGTGGAAGAAACCTATTATCTAGTAATCTAAATAGGCCACTTCTTGGACGGCAGCATTCTGTATTTCTACAATTTACAATTTGAAGCAAGTATTGGCTCTCACGCACATGTTCTGAATACCATTTAATGTCTGGAAAATCAGGAAGATCTTGTTCACCTGCCCCAACATATTTTGCAATAACATTATTGCCATCAATTTCCATTGAACTTCATACTTCAGCTAATACATTTTCTGCAAATTCGAAATTGTTCATCAATTGTAACGCCACGTTCATCCAAATGAGACCCAAAATGGTCATGAGGCAATATTTAATCATCCAGTTCCCGACTAAGAGGAGCCATTCTGTGCTCTACTCTGTTATATGCACTTCTTCCAGAAGCATCGAGATCATGTCGCTTAAAGTGTTGTATGTTATAGCAAACCCTATGACTTTTTGATAACGTGGATTTTCGTCTGGCCCTCCATCAACCGTCATGATTACCACTGGTTTTCTAGTCCATGGTCAGTTTTAGCTAATGGTCGAAACTCTTCAAGTTCGAGAAGCGTCTCGAAATCCTGAGCATGAGTATTAGCAGTAGATGAACTATGCTTTCCACTTCGAATAGCGATGTATGTTGGTCCAGAATATCCAACGGCTTGCGGTTGTCCAAGCATATTGGAAGTGATTTTGATACCAGCATAAACAGATGGTATTAATTTATGACGCTCAGCGATTACCCAATCGTGATCAGGCAATTTGATTCTATATTCCATGTACATTAGAAGAGGTGCTTGCTTAGTTGCCGCAGTTACGCCAATAGGGACTCGAGCTTTATCATCTTGAGATAAGAAAAATACTTGATCTGGTCCAAGTATGGATGCTATGTTCTCTAAATAATGGATTGATGTTTCAGCGAACTTGCTAAGTGGCTCTTCTGGTGATCAGTTTGAGCCCGAATGAGCCTAACAGGGACTGTCGATACATGTATTCGTCCCTCTGCAGAATTAGATTTTCTGGGAATCAAACGAAGATATGTTCCACTGCGACTAATGCCAAATCCTATTTTACGTAATTCTTGTGTGAGTTCATCAAGAGTTTTTACGCTGCGAATTGATTCAGTTCGTCTTCTATCATCTGCTGCACTTCCAAATAAAGCTATATCCGCGATTGTTTTCAATAGTGAATGTTGATTGCTTTCAAGATTAGGACGTCTCACTGAATCCCTCAGAGATAGTCTTATTTTTATTTCTGTATTTTCATGACAAATATCTTCTAACTTTCTTTTCATACCATCCCTGTGTTTCTTCTGGGCAACTGCGTTTTGAACCTTCCTGTTTAAAGACTGTTTTGCTGTTTTTATTTCCTCGCGCAACTTAATGATCTGTGTATCAACTTCAGCACGGCTTGGCATAGTATCTCTGGCAGAATACAAAGCATTAATTTTTTTTTCGAGTAGAGCAATCTTATTTTTCATAGATTCCTGAGAAGGTTTTGCTCTCTGTTTATCTGTATTTTCATTAATTTCGCATTGCTGTTGTGATTCATTACCGGGTTTTATTTTATCTTATTCCTCTTTTTTAATATTTGAAGCTTTTGCTCTCTGTTTATCTGAATTTGCATTAATTTCGCATTGCTGTTGTGATTCATTACCGGGTTTTATTTTATCGTCTTCCTCTTTCTTAATATTTGAAGCTGACTGTATAATTTGTGTTTTTTCTGCAGGTTTACAGGTTGCCTAAAGATAAAAACTTTCTGTGTCTTCTGCTAAAGATTCCCTTATTAAGGTACATAAATACAAAGTATGGCAATATATATGGTAAATACAAAACCCTATGGCTTTAAATCTAATATGTGTAAACGAGCAATTCGTTCCGGTCACAAAATACAGGGTGTTAGTTTTCTGTATATATGTATAAAACTAACATCCTGTACTTTGTGACCAATTGACGGAATCAATCATAAGAAATAAATCTATAATATAATGAATATTACCTCTATACTTTGAGATAGGCCATAATATTTTCTAATCAGTAAAGAGAAATTTTGGCGATTTCTAATATCTCTAGTACTCATGGGTACCTAAAATGATTTCGTCACTCACCTTAGAAAAAAATTTTAGTAGATTGGATTTATTCTTAGTCGCTGCTTGCAATTCTTCTTCGATTCTCTTAGATACAATAATATCTAGATCCTTGTCGGATTTTGCTTGCAATTTGTAATTTCGCCACACTTCGTTAACTAACTTTTGTACATTTTGTACTTTCGTACTTGTATGAGATTTTTTAAAACTTTCAAACAATTTTTGGCATAGCTTGGATTTGTCTATGTAAAACGACATCTTATTTAAACATTAAACTTTGGCTAATGGAATCAATGGTAACACTAATGTTTACTTGCTTTACTATGCTTACAATACGTCTACTCGCTATAGTATCCAAACGAAACAATACACTAATAGAGGAAATTTAGACAAGTGAACACCGCGCGGTAATTCCCCTACTCGGTTCTAAAGCGAGTAGGGGAATTACCGCGCGCTGTTCACTAAACGTATGCATTATTTGCGGGAATCCCCGAAAATGCGTTTCGTTTTCAAGCAAAGACAATGTGAGGGTTGCCATTCGTGTAAAAAAGTAAATAACTACCGATGACGTAATCATCATCTAGACTCCCCTACCCCCCATCTCATCCAAAATAAGCAAAGCGCCTTTGCCTTCCAAAAGTTCTCCAAACCTCTGGAAAAAGACTACGAAAATTTCTAAACTAAAATATGCGGCTTATATTTCCCTAATAAATATTTTATGTATAACAGCTTCTATGAAAGAGTCAAGTTAATCGATATATTTCTGTTACAGGATGCCAGGTTGAAACAACTGGTAGAAACTCTCGGCGAACGGTGGGACCTGATTTCAAACCAATTCCCTGACAGATCGGATGTACAGTGCCAGCAGAGGTGGACGAAAGTCGTCAATCCGGAGTTAGTAAAAGGGCCATGGACCAAAGAGGTTAGTTGTACATTCTTGAAAAAATATTCATGTAATATGTACCTGCTGTGTGTTATTTATTGCTAAATGCTAATTTGAAACACTAATACTATATTTGATGTATCTAAGACTTGATGTGGCAGAATAGTATGTTTTCTACTTTATATTATGTTTTTTTTTGTTGTTATATGACATGGACTTTACGAAAAATCATGTCACTCATTTCCGTCGGGTCTATCGGTCTGTTTGTTTTTTTTTTGTTATACATAACCCCTTATGAACGGATGACAGAGTTGCTTTGGGAAGTGCAAGGTCATCCTACTGAACGTCATTTTTGGCGTCTTATAATGAGTCCACAGACCCTGAGCTTGCTAAACAGTATGGTTAAGATTCAGTTTCCCAGGAGAAATGAACATGCATGTGTTCTTTCGCATTCATAACAAATTTACTGAGTATATCTACCAGCTTACCAACATAGTACAAGTAGTACCTCATTGTTCGTCAGGCAGGAATTCCGGCTTAAAGGCGCCATCCCACGCGATTGGTTAAAAACACCGATTATAGGTCATACCAGGTATACAGTCTACGAATAGTAGGTTCACTTCACTATCCAAAACCGTGTTTGATTACGTTTTTAATTATAATGGATAAGAAAATACAATTTTTGACAACAAGCTATTATTTAGGTGTTTTTAAAACGACCGAAAATTTTAAAAATATTTTTATCCGATTGGAAGTATTCCAACGATAATGAAACTACTTCATCTCATGATTTGAAATGAAAGCGTGCAACGTTTTGACAGCAAGATGTAAAAAGGGTGTAATACTCTTTTATTTGAAAACTTGAGATAAAGGAGCTTATCGTTTAAATATTTACAATCGGAAATAAATATTTTTAAATTTTGAGTTCATTTTATCAACAGCTGAAAAAGCTTATTTTAAAAAGAATATTGAAAATGTTTCTTTTTTATTTGTTACTTTTTATTATTCATAATGACAAGTAACTAGTTTAGTGACGACGTTATTTAGCTTATTGTGTTTCTTCCCTTTCATTTGATACCCATATTATAGCAGTCATCATGGAAACTATAAATCACCGTTTAGCGACGGCCGCCATATCGAATTTACAATGACGTCACTTTGCTTATTGTGTTCAACTCGTCAAAGTCCTTCATTTGATACCCATGTCATAGGTGTGACTGTGAAAAATATAGACCGTCATTTCAATCTCTTTGATACAAAATGGCGGCGATTGATTCATTGTGTATTGACACGCCAACACGTGTATACAAAATTGAATTGGTTTAGGTTGACTGATTCAAAATTCAAGTTTTACCCCACACAAACATACACCATACCATCAAGCGAGTCAAGTTAAATAGAAACTTGTACAAAGCTTCGGCAGAAGCAACCGCTTTGCCGAGACTGTCCGTGGATGGCAAACAGCTAGGTTTTCGGTAGGCTAGCGGCCCGAACGTAAAAGTAGCTCCGTAAGTGACCTTACTTTTCGTAATCTGTTTAGTTTGGTAGTACCAACCGTGACAGAGGATTTGAATGTTCTACGAGTCGAATGATCTGATCCGCATAAGAAATTGACGAATAGGATAGAGGTGATATTGTGAGCAGCATTTTTATGTAAATATTATCGGCGGTCTCTCGCCCACCTGGTTTCCGATTCATTCAAAGGCGTACGACCCTGAAGGGCACACTTGTGTAGAATATTGAAAAGGAAGTAGACCGAGTAATCACTATTTATTTGCGATATCTGATATGATTGACGACGTGATGAAAAATGAAACGATTTCCTACTTATAGGATGTTAAGTCTTAAATCATCATGCAAGATGTAGTGTGTGTGTGACACAGCATAAGAACAAATTGATCAATGAAAAATTACGAAAAGTTTTTTGGCTCTAAGACTGAAATGCGCTGGAGCGTGAAAAGTACCAAACATGACTTTAACGGGGCTCCTACAATCACGAGCACCATCTGCTGAGGTAACTGGGGGGTGAAAAGGAAACGAGGGTGGGCTGGCCCTAGACTGTCGTCGGCGCTACTTTAAAAGAGGAAAGGATGACTGCGGGTGCATACCAAGTTAAATTTTTATTACAGAGTCGGATTTGGATTAGCGATCTAGCCTGTAAATCGTTTCCTATTTTGGTGCTCAGCAAGTGATCATTTAGTATTTTTCTCCCCTTGTTATTGTTCGTCCATATTGTGTTGTTGAATTGTTGTGCTGTACTCTTGTTGGTGTGATTGTTCTTGAGTGCCTTTTTTATCAAGGTTGATAATGGACAATAAAAGGTCATATGCGACCATTTTAATTACGAATGCAGTGAGTTTAATTCATGATGAGGTCAACAATAGTGTGGAGCAGTTCAACTCTATAATCGCAAAATACATTTGGGAGTAAGCGAATAAATTATTGCAATAAGAGGTCATAGCATGGAAGATGTGCTGCAGCTGTAGTGAGCCACAATACCCAGCGGCCTGTCTATGTGGACCAAATACATTTGCGTTCTAATCTTAGTCAAACCTCGCTTATCGCTAAGATGGAACAAAGACTCAAACGTAAGAATCTTGAAAAGAAACTCATACCAAAAAAATGAAAAATGAATGGTTTTATGGCGAATTCTGTCAAAAACCTGACATGAACGACATTGATTTGGAGGTTACTAAGCAAGAATTTTTAGGGAAACTTAAAAAAAGTGACGACTAGATTTTGCAAATCGAACAAGTCACCAAATCACAGGACTGTACTTTGTGGCACCTTCATCGGGCGATAAGGTTGACAGCGTCTCGATTTGGTGAAGTTTGTAGAAGAACACAGACAGCAAGCTGTAAAGTTCTAGTAAGCTCCATCATATACCCAACAGATTTTTCTAGTAAAGCAATAATAAAGGCAATACAAAAATCATTGGACACGGCAGTTCAATCTTGTGATTTGTTTATTGATCGCACACATCCATTTCTGGCAGCATCGCCTCCATCTACCTATTACAGTAGACAAGAAATGTACTCAATTCAGGTATAAGCCTACCTGTTTATTGCTTTGCAAAAAATACCTAACTGTTTCCTATTATTTTGAGGGCATAAGATATTTTTATAACCGTCGTCAATTGTTACCATGTACCACATGACCCTTGTAAACATAATTGTGTTTATTGACATGAATAAACGAATTTGAATTTGAGTTCTTGAATTTATTTTAGGAAAGATATCAAATTATTTGAATACATTTTTTTTTAGTCGGAACGCACCGTCGCTTCGCTTGGACTGGCAGGACGAAACAGTAGACGAATTTCGCCCAAAAACCGATTTGCTCTTCACAGCTTACGTTTCATTTTTTATTATTTCCAAATGAAAGTCTTGCAGCAAAACAAAGTCCACAAGGTGCTAACGATCCACTTTTTCGATGTTATCCACTAGGATCTTTTTAAAATATCAAGTAGTTGAGCACAAATAGTAAGCATTTCAACCCACCATAATTCTTCCGCAAGAAATTTTGTAAAAAGCTCTGATAGCACCCTAGGCAATTATGTCCTGCTTATATCCAGAAAAACATCACAAACTGCAGAACACAAATTAAAGGTAACGGCGAAATGGGTACATTTCACGGGTCATGAAATTCAAATGAAATTGCAGGTATACAATCTATCAAATTATCGTTCTAAAAACATATTTCCTTGACATTTCGATAATTTTAAAGTTCCACGCTAAATTCCCTTATACTTGACTGGAGTGATATCCGAATTCATTCTTCCCTTCTGTGGGCAGTTGCAGATAGATCTGTTATCTCTTGGTGTCAAACCTATAGAGCAGGTATAGACTTTTTCAAATCGTGAGCACATTATTCGTCGGATTTTCGTTACTTAAATTTCCTGTAATCACTGGGATCAGAAGCTTCTTAATAATAGAACGTGTTTCACTGATATCAAAGATGAAACATTTAGAATCACCTTCCCCAACCCCCACTTTTTAAGCAGTACAATTTTTTTATGTCAATGATAAAGAACCCCTGTAACGTCAAAAACGGAGTTTCAGCAATTGTTACTTTTTCTTTTTTGCCTATAGCACCGTTGCCATTGGACTAAAACTACAAAGCTTTGGCATACTAGTAACCTCGTGTGGAAATTTCATAAAAATCCAAGCGATAATTTCCAAGTTGATGATGAGTGATATAGTTCATCGTGATGTAGATGTCATATGACTTAAAAAACATAACATCTAATTTTAGAAATTTTTCACGATTACAATACTTCCTCGCCACTGGCGAGGTACATAAAACGGCTTTAAAATCGAGGAGTATGAGCGATCGCGATTATGAGTACCTATTTGCAGAACGACTTATCTATGCGATATTATATGAAATAGGGCCACCAAATTATCTGAATACGTCCTTTCTTAGTCCGTACGTTGCGCCGGAACGCTTGGGTTGGCAGCACGAAACAGTAGACAAAATTCGTCCTAAATACGATTTGTAGAGGTTTGCGCACTTCGAAATTGACGCTTTATTTTTTGATATTTTTGAATGAAATTTTCAAAGTGTGCTGAAAACAAAACCCTATATGCTATTTTTACTAGATTCTTTTTAAAAAAATCGTGAAGTTGAACAGAAAAAGTGCGCACTTCAACCCATCATAAAACTTGTACAAAAACGAAATTTCAAAAAGTGCTCCTATAGCACCCTGGGCAATTATCTTCTGAACATACTCTATGAATTTCATTCAAAAATATTGAAAAATGGAGTGTCAGTTTCGAAGCAGCTGAACACTTGTAAATGGCTTGTAACTCACTGAGGCGGAGCCGCCTTAAGGATGCAAAAGTTAAATCTGCTTGATTATCAAATATATCGGATCAAGAGTTTTTCTGATGATTTGATGCATGTTATTGTTTTATTTGTGCGTATCGTTTGTAAGCATACCGCATTGATATGGGAGAATCAGAATCAAAAACTGCCGCTAGATTGCCGACAAATTTATCACATCATTTCAGCGTATATTTTTGCTGGGATAAAATGTC